AGGGGAAGGCACTCAATGAGGTGGATTGATTCAGTGACTGGGGTAATCGGGATGGGTGTGTTGGAGACAGGGTAATTGGCACAGGACAGAGCAGAGTTTAAGGCTGTTGTACGTAGAGTTGCTATGAGTTGCGAGCTACTCGATGGCACACGACGACAACAACAACAACAACAACAACAACAACAACATGTATCTTTTGCTCTTTTTTTTTAAGTATTTGTCTTAATCATATTATGTAATTTATAAACTGATGAATTCTAACACTTAATTCTTGACTCCCAAGCCTGAGACCTAATAAATAGTTCTCTTTTCCTGCCCAATTACCTACCAATAATCCAGAACTTAAGCAGCTGAACAGAAGATTTCAAAGGGTAGCATGAGAAGACAGATCCAAGTATTATAATGGAACATGTGAAGAGCTGGAGTAAAAAAATAACTTAAAGGCCTAACTCCCTGGTCTTTTTTAAGCTGAAGGAACTGAAGGACAAATTCAAGTCTCTAGTTGCAATGTTTAAGGATGCTTTGGGCAGAATATTAAATGATCCAGGAAAAAGCAAAGAAGATGGAAGGAGTATACAGAGTCACTGTAACAAAAGGAACTGGCTGACACAGAAGAAGTTCATGAACAATGTGATCAAGAGCCTATGGTGATGAAGGAGAAAGTTCAAGCTGCTCTAAAGGAATTGGCAAAGAACAAGGCCCCAGGAATTGATGGCATACCAGTTGACATATTTCAACAAACAGATGCTGCCTGGATGCGCTTCCTAAATTTTGCCAAGAAACATGGAGGGTAATCAATCACCTGGCCAATTGACTGGTAAAGATCCATATCTGTTCCCATTCCAGAAAAAAGTGACTGACAGGGTGCAGAAATCACCAAACTATATCATTAATATCACATGTAAGCAGGATCCTGCTGAAGATGATACAAAAAAGACAGTACACATCAGTAGAGAACTGTCAGGTGTGCAGGCTAGGTTTAGAAGAGATTGTGGTACTAGGGATATTATAGCTAATGTTAGATAGATCTTGGCTGAAAGAAGAGAGTACCAGAGGAATGTATATCTGTATTTCATTGAGTATGCAAAAACATTTGACTTTGTGGATCAAGATAAACTGTGGCTGACCCTGATAAGAATGGAAATTCCAGAACACTTGATTACTCTTATGTAAAACCTATACTTGGACCAGGAGGTAATGGCCAAAACAGAGCAAGAAATCACTGCATGGTTAAAAATCAGAAAAGGTGGATGCCAGGGTTGCATCCTATCTCCAAATCTTTTCAATCTATATGTGGAACAGATCATCAGGGAGGCTGGGCTCTATGAGAAGGAATGTGTTATCAGGATTGAAAGAAGACTTATCAACAACTTGCAATACGCAGTTGACACAACCCTGTTTGCTGAAGCTGAAGGAGATCTGAGGCATTTGTTGCAGAAGGTCAAGGACTGCAGCCTTTAATATGGACTGAAGCTCAACATCAAGAAAAAAAGATTCTCACCACTGAGCCAATTGGCAGCATCATGATAGATGTTGAAGAGACTGAGATTGTTAACACCTTCAGGTTGCTTGGCTCCACAAGCAACACTTTAGTACTAGCAGTGAGGAAATTAAAAGAATTGCACTGAGAAAAACTGCTGTCAGGGACATCTCCAGAGTACTGAAGAGCAATGATGTCAATCTGGACACCAAGGTGCACCTGATCCAGGCCTTAGTCTTTGCAATTACTTGCTATGCATCAGAAAGCTGGACAATGACTAAGGATAATAGAAGGAGAACTGATGCCTTTGAGCTGTGGTGCTGGAGAAGGGTATTGAATATACCATGGACTGCTAGGAGAACAAACAAGTTTGTCCTGGAGAGGGTGAGATAAGGGTGCTCCTTTGTTACAAGGATTCTGAAGCTCCACATGACATACTTTCGGTATGTTGCAAGGAGGGAGCAGTCCTTGGAGAAGGACATCATGCTTGGTCAGGCAGAGGGACAGCGCAAGAGACAAAAAACCTGGATGAGATGGAGTGTCTCAGTGACTGGGGTAATGGGGGTAGGTGTGTCAGGAAATAAGGTTGGCTCATGATAGAGCAGTGTTCAGAGCTATTGTATGTAGGGACACATGTGTTGTAAGTGACTCAATGGCACTTAACAGTAACAATAACATACCAATAATAAGACATAGGTGATAAAATATAGAGATTGAGAAGCACAAAGGTAGAGTTACTCAACAGGTATTAGCACAAAAGAGAAAATCTCGGATCTGATTTAAACGCTCTTCACTTGAGGAGCAGATGAGAAAGCCTAACTAAATACTCACCATGACTCAGTCACCCTGGTGGTTGCTGCTGTCGCTGAGTACCAGTGAGGTGGAACTAACCTCCAGCTGACCGTTCAGTGGGTTTTCAGAGGCAGTAAGTCACATGGGAGGAGACTGTCCATCTTTCTCCCGTGCAGAAGCTGGTGGATTCTAACTAACTGCAGCACCACTTCTTACCCCTAAGACACCACAGCTCCTTATCGGTGGTAGATGGATCGTATTTTTTTCTCAAACTCTTGAGCAGAATTTCCATTTAAATGGTACAACATAGTAAAAGAGTAACTTCACACCAAAGACAAGCTGAGCGATAAAAGAACAGTCCACTTAACAGCCCTTAAGTGGTAATTTCAATCAGAAAACAACCTGAAGATCTTGAAGAAGTGTCTAAAACAAGCAAAATCAGCATATCTGACTACATATAACAGAGTGTCTTAAAAGATGAAGAGAGGTCTCTTCTGATCTCAGGTCAGAAGAGAATGTTCCTAGATGGCAAGCCCTACGAAGCTCTGGTGGCACAGTGGGTAAAACACTCAGTTGCAGCCCAAAAGGTTAGATGTTTGCACCAACCCGTCACTTCACAGGGAAGGATGTGGCACGGTGCTCCTGCCCTGATGTACTGCTCTGGATACCCCGTGGGGCAGGTCTTCTCTGTCCTGCAGAATAACTATGAGTTGGAAGCAATTTGATGATAGTGAGTTTGGTTCAAGTGTGATTCCCCCCTTGCCTACTCTAGTCCACCTCTGTTCTTTGACCAGTCAGTTCTCAAGTCTATAAAAAATAGCAATGCTGAGTGAAATAAGGGACCATAAAACAGAAGGCACAGAGCAAAGATTTCTTATTGGTGTCAGGCAGTTTAGAAGGCATGAAAGTAGAGGTAAAGGCTAGGGAGCAGGTTATATTATTCCTGTGCGGATTCTTGCTTTTCCACTTTAAAAAGAACCTGTCTTTCAAAAGTTTAGGTTATTTAGAACCTAGAATGAGCTTTCCTCAAAAACTGAATTTTAATGCAAATAATAATTAGATTTTCAGATCAGCAGAAAGGCCTATTGAAAACTCAAGTTATAAACTTGAGGAAACGAAAATTTCACATATATACCATTTGTTCCAAAATAGCTTGCCTCCGGAAAAATCTATGAACTTGGAGAAACGATGTAAGTTACACAAGTGTTCATATCTTTCATTCATTGGGTCACGGGGAGACTACTATGACTTGATGGCACTTAACAACAACAACAAGTATAGGTAATATTTTGTCTATAATTTACTGGGTACATACTATGTCTCAGGAATTAGCAGGTACAATAAATATCTTTTTTTAAAATAAAAGCCTCAGCAACATTATGAGAGCTAGCGTTACTCCTATCTTACAGACAAGGAAACGGATGCTCAGTAATTTGCTAGTCAGTTTGAAAGGTGTCAAGTGTGCTAAGTTTTGTTTGTAGAACCCATTATAAGAAATGACCTGCTAGGAATGATGTCCTAAATATGGAGCGTCATTGCAGGGATATTATAATGTCTGGCTGTGCTAACGCTTTATAGGGTTATCAGCACTGAATACCTCAAAATGCAACCAAATTAGAAATGCCAAAATGCACAGTTTCTGTAACCACACCATGCCAGTGGCCACCATCAGGTTTGTTCTACAGGAAAGTGCTTTCCAGGTTCCCATCGGTAATGACATGTGCACAATTCTCTCTGGGAAATTAGGAGTGTCTATGTACCTACACTGTTGAACTTGACTGTGAGGAGGCCACACTCTAAGGCAGATGGTTTTCAGCTGGAGTCTAGCTCTTCAGGCCAAGGCTGTATGGGTCAGGCTCCACACAAAAAGAACTTTTCCACATATACATGCCTAATTTGGGCTGATTCTCACCTCTACTTTCCACATCTCTTCCCTGAGTCTCTCACTGTCACTGATATCAATAACTCCTTACTCGATACCCATGCTTGATGAATAATTCAATTTTGTCTGGTTTTCCATCTCATTACAGCACTTAAACCAAGACCTCTTTGAGCATTATCATTTCGTCCTCCAAGGCTCTGAGGATTCTATTCTCAAACACTGCCCTTTGTTATTAATCCTGCTCTAAGATCACTGGAAAGACCCGCTCAGCTGGAGAACGCTTTTGTTCTGAAACATGAAGAGAACGTCAAACTGAAAGAGATCTTTCCATGTCACCAATCCCCTGGAACACGGCAAAGGGAATGTTATCTCCTCCACCACAAATTGCTCCATATGGGCGCTCTGTTGGCATAGACCAAAGGGAGCCCCACGGCTAATCTTAAAGTAGTGCTTCTCGGGTGGTTCAAACACACCAGCAGCTCCACAAGGCAAAGAGGCACTATCTTCCAGCCGCCCGAAAACCCACGGAGGGTCAGCTATGAATCAGTTATAACGTGATGACAGTGAGGGGTTTCTCTGAGAGAGAAATTGCTGTTTCTAGAATTTAGTGGAACTAGGTCAGTATGTGACAATCTCAAATAAAACTTACACAATCAAGAAGGCAAATGAATGGAAAGATAACAGAGCCAAGACTACAGAGAAATCTGAAAAAACAAGAAATACTTTCACATTTGTGTATAGGAATGGCTTGAGAGAGATATATCTCTTCACTCCTTTAAGGAATTACAATTTTAATTCTTTCATGAGAATAAAGGAAAAGGCATTTACCTTTGGAAATCAGCAACCAACTTTACATCAGCTATGACAATCTTATGCTCAATAATCATGTGCTTCAGAAGTTTGTCTTGTTCAGCCACAGGAAAGTGTTCTTCACAGAAAATACAAGGCACAGATGGAGAACCTTCTAAAGTGGTGGCGCCACCTGGACTTTCTGGCAGGGACAGTGGTTCTAGGATGCAGTCCTTTCTGTCTGGAAGAGAAAAAAAAACCAACAACAGAGAAGCTGAAACCAATTATTGAGAAAGATGATTTCTTACCTCCTAAAAATATTTACATTTCTCCCCAAAGAAAAAAAGAGCAGGATCCTTAATTATTATCTTAAACAGCTTCCATAACCCAGAGGCAGAGAGTATATACAAAGCAGCTCAAACTCCTTTTGCTCACTTGAGTGGGAGAATCTATTTGTCCGGGCAGCTCTTCAAGCCTTCTTGGATCCTGGCCAAAGGCAGCATGTCCAGAGGTACGAGGACAGGGAGGGCTGCAGCACACCAGGTGAGGGTTTCTTAGGGCGGCTGTCATACTAAGGGAGGTAAATGGTATATTTTGATGTGTCTTTAAGCTGCTTCTCACAGCATCTGCAACCTTGTCCCATTTCTGGTTGTCCTGTGTAAGGCAGGCATCTCTCACGCTGGAATGACCCAGTATGTCCTGACGGGCCAGGTGGCAGGATTTTTTATGTTGATTTCTGTCTATCACTTGTACTTTCATAATTACATACTACAATTTCATTTCTTGTGAACAGAGAGATGAACGCTCGTTAACTAGACATATGTGGGCATTTTCTCTATCTGTCCTATTCCTTTTCCTAATGTCATCTAGAGGACTCATGACATATTTGAGTTGTGACAGAATGTGCTTGTGACCCTTCACTGTTCTGCACCTTGTCTCTCTCTTATCATTAGTAATATGTAACCATACACAACGTATCTTTGCTGATGTTAGCCTTCTCAGATGTTCACATTTAGATGCTTAGCTTTATAATTTACTGTTCATGACACTGCTGTATAGATTTCACTTTTTTAAAAAAAATATAAACCCAAACTAAATCAGGGGCATCAATTGCTTGAAAACATGGACTCAAATGCTGAGGGCTTTGCTAAAGTTGTCAGGCAGATTTGGCATGTTACTGCAAACTAGATGAAGTGGACATAAAAAAAGAGAAAAGAACCATACATACACAGATAACGCTAATTTTCTGACTAGAAACGCCATCCCCTCACCCTGGGTAATAGAGAGCCAGGGGCCTACTTCGCCCCGCTCTTCCTCATTGTCGGGGTACATTTTTAAGATCTGGGCATTTTTATGCATGCATTAAATATTTCTAATATGGATTATATAGGATGTTTCTGATCTCTAAAGACAAATAATGGACTTAAAATATTGATGATAATAATAATGATGACGAAAAAGATCAAAGAGGCATTTGTGTCTGAACCAACTTAGGATGGATACATTGGAATAGCGTCCCATTGCAGACAAAGGGCCACCTGTACCGGAGCAGCTCTCCTGCTGCAAGCATTAAGGCTACTCTGCCCAGGCTAGACTGTGAACTCCTCAAGGGCAACGAGTAAGTCTCACTTACTCTGATCTCCCTTGTGTGACTAGTATATTTGGCAAATGGTAATTGAATGACGATGTTGACAAGAGGTCTAGCATTATCTCAGTTCCAAGGGAAATCCTATTTGGGGGACATTTGTGGCTGTCTTCCTGGAATCTTGTCTGATACCGAGGGGAATCCAACTATAATTATGGCCAGATCTGTAGTGTGGGCCTTGCTGTAGCAGACCCAGGGGTAATTAGGAAAAAATGTTGACAATGAATTCTAAAAGAATAATAATGATGCTCGATGAGTGTAATAAAAGTATATTTCATTAGACAGAGCTGTTTTTGTTTTGTGTTTTGATTTGCATTTTTCACATGTAAGGAAACTTTTCAGCAAACAAGGAAAGAGTGGTATTTAAAATGAAGATGAGATTTTACCACCCCATCAGAGGAGGCTTGTATCTGATAGGCCTAAATCTTACATATATAGTTCAGTTCAAAGGTGTGGTATCCAAACTTGTTTAAGCTTCATCACCTGCACAGCTTTTAAAAAAATAAAACTGAATGAAGATATGCCATTCTTGCCAAGCACCAGTCTCTGGACAACCACCTAGGAAGCAGCAGAACAGAGGATGCTGACAAATCGAGAAGGCGGGATCCTGAGGGTAAAAAGAGGGTGGGCGTCTTGACCTCATGTAGAAAGAAGTCCTTAACTGAAGAGACAAGGCAAATCTTTCTTGGTAGTCTAGTCTGTCCTGCAGGGGATCCCACCAGATATCCATTGTGCCTGCAGATCTCATTGAGATTTGCCTAATAGCTTCTTTATTTTCAGCTGTCACAAGAACCCTCTATCTTCTTACATGCTAAAAAGCCAAAAGATGTGGAAATGAAAGCAAAAGGCAGTAAATTACTTCTAGCACTTTTCAGCAAAGAGGTGAAGTATCTTGGAAATTCTATTTTGGCCTCAAATCTGCTTTGCACATTTGTTACAAATTGACAACACAAATTATCTGCTCTAGTTCTCACTTTGAACGGCAATTCTGTTCAGATGAACTGTAAAAAATATCATCCCAAGGAAGCTCCTCTGTTGATTATTAGCAGCTTTTGTTTACTCGAAGAAGTAATTTTTATTCTAAGATTTCCAAAGTATCAAATTATTATTTGAGAACGGTGCTTCTATGGTTTAATGCTTCTATGACACATGGGCCACCTCGAGATTTTGTTACAGAGGTCCTGACTCAGGAGGTGTGGTGGCCATGAAATTTGCCAGTCAAATCTCCTGTGGCAGTGAGTATAATGGACAGAATCCCATTTGAAATGAGGCCAACTTTCCCACACAAAACCCTAAACCAATGACTGGAGGCGGCAGAAATGCCACTGCTGTGATAAGTGAGCTTTGTGATCCACAGGACTCTGCTGGCTGCAATCCCAAAGGTAGGTGGTTCAAATCCACCAGCTGCTGTTCAGGATGCACAAACTTTTCTCATGTGATTTACTGCCTTTGAAAATCTGCTACAAGGTCTGCTGCGAGCCCCAGTTCTGATTTGATAACACACAACAACAACAACAACTGCTATGTTGGCAGAAACTGGTTGAGAATGGTGCTGCGGGCTGAGAATCGACGCATCCCTCTTCCTTCCCTCCTTCACAGAAGTCATTCCTACACTGCCATCTCCTCCAGGTTCCCTGCCTTTCCCCCTTCTCCAGCATCTTCTCTGAAACACCTCCTCCACACCAACTCCCATCTTGGGATATGCTTCCTGGAGGGCAGGACTACACAAGGTTAGATTGGGAGGAGGAGGTGAAATTTTGCATGTCTCAGTTCTAAGCTGATGCCAGTCCATCTCTCTACAAGTCACACTTTGAATAGCGAGGTTCTGCCTAGAGAACACAAGTTATAAATTATAACTATGTGCTTAAATAGGCAATCTAGATTTTACTTTGGACCATGGCATGGCAAGTAGATCAACGTTACTTGTATTTTCAAAGGAAAGAAGCAGCCTCTGAGGTTCTTGCTCTCTGTATGTCAGACGAGAGGAACTTGTCATCAACAATGAATCACTGACGTGTCTGAAATAAAGATTCCTCTTACATTTGCTATTTATTTTAATTGTTGTTGTTCCATGCTGTTGACTCGACTATGACTCACAGTGATCCTAGGAACAACAGACCTGAACTGCTCTATTGTGTGCTGATTTATTACAGTTTCCTTTAAGTATTTCAGTTGAGGCTAATATTTTTAAGGACAGGTAGTTATGTTTTTTACCTGACCCCTATCTTTTGATAGGACTTTAATTAGCCATTGAATCTCATTTCTTCTATGCTAATTTTACTCTTAGAACTTAAATGCTAAGACTTAAAAAACCTGAAATTTATTGCCATTGACTCAGAACCAAGTCTTAGCTAACCCTACAGCTTGGTTTTCAGGAGGCTGAAAATCAAAAGGGAGGAGATTGCCCATTTTTCTCCCTAAAAGCCACTGATGGATGGATTAGAACTTCCAGAGAGGGTCTGCCTTTTGGTCTGTAGTGCAACCCCCTATAGACTCTGCCACCAGAGCCACCAAAAGGTAGACATTGTTAGGTGCCGTAGAATCAGCTATGACTCACAGCGACCCTCTGAACAACAGATCTGAACCTTGCTCGAAGAGCTTTTCAGCTTCTTATAGGTCAGGTCCTTCTCTTTTTGAAGCAGGAAATGGCCTATTCCTTGTAAGTGAGTCAGCACCTTTGACTTCTAAGTGTCTGACCCTTGAAGATGGTTTTGGAAAATAGAAAACAATCGGTCCTGTCTATGGTTTTAGATCTTTTAGCCACATCAACAGAAATAATCATCAAAGTTCAGTGTAAGAATATACACTATTTCTTTTTAGAATTTATATTTTTTAATTGTTGTTTTTGAGAAAACACACAGAAAATAGACCAATTAACAATTTCTATTCATGCAATTGAAATTATCACATATGTTACAGCCTCTTGCTAAAGGGACAGCTGACTTAATGGCACTGGTTTCAACTTGATGGCAATGAGTTTGAAGTTTCTGTTTTGTTGGGTTTGTTCCCTCCAGATTGATCCTTAATAGCTTTTATATTGAACAGTGCAGAGCTAATTAGTGCAATCTAATTAGGAAAATCTGCTTCTAGGGACCTCCTCCAAAGTGCTGAAGAGCAATGATGTCAGTCTAGAGACTAAGGTATGCCTGATTCAGGCCACTGTCTTCACAATTACTTTGCTATGCATCAGAAAGCTGGACAATTAAGGATGACAGAAGATGAATCGATGCCTTTGAGTTGTGGTGCTGGAGAAGAGTCTTGAACGTATGGACTGCCAAGGGAACAAACAGGTCTGTCTTGGAGAGGGTGAGGCTAGGACTTTGAAGCTCAGCTCACATACTTTGGGTACATGGCCAGGAGGGAAAAGTCCTTGGAGACGGATATCATGCTTGGAAATGTGGAGGAACAGCAGATGAAATGGAATGACACAGTAAAGGCGGCAATGGGGGTAGGTTTGCCGGAGACAGTGAGGCTGGCTCAAGATAGGGCAGAGCTATTGTACATAGGGTCACAGTGAGTTGCAGGTGACTTGATGGCACATAACAACAACAGCAACCACAACAACTAGTGCAAAAGTTCTTCATCTGGGG